AACACTGCCACATATCACATACACAGTATTCCTGTGGCAACTGTGAAACAGTCATTGTGTCTTGTGTTTACTTTCTCTGCCTCAGTACAAACTCACATTCTCCCACTCCACGAGGTACTGCACCTTTCCATCGGGTGTGACACGTCTCGCCAAGATCCTCACTGCTTCCCCTCCTCCCCAGCTCCTGGCCACTGTCCCATCCCCCCCTCCGACTCCCATCGCCCCTCCACCACCTCCAACCATGCCACCCCCTCCGCCCATCCCAGGCTGGTAAGGGGGCAGGTCACGTAGGACAAGGGGCTCCAGCGGCTTCTGCCCCGGCTGGTGCTGGTGTTGGTGGTTGTGATGGTGCTGGTGGAGGTGGTGGTGGTGATGGCTGCCGCTGGAGTCGAGGGGGTAGGGGAAGCACGGTGGCGGTAACCTGCAGGGGTCCTCCATGCTGGGAGAAGAGGAGAGACAAGCATAGGAGACAGGAAGAAGGACTGATGCATTTGGACGTCGTTCACCTTTAAAACAGTTTTTATAAAGAAACAAAGTTTTTAAAGTTTTTCTAGTTGTAAATTTTAAAAACTATAACGGACATATACATTGCCTTAACTAGCTGTCACCACTACGAGTATAAAGTGCTGTTGTTTTCGTACTGATAAGTCTGGGTGTGGTGTCACACCTGACATCAATTTGAAGGAGTCTATACTATATGTCCCGTCAGAGTACAGGCTGGGAATACCTGAAGACTTAATGTCAAAACGTTGTTGAGTGGTAGCTTGGCCTCAATAAATATGATTTCTGAAGCATCAAATCAGTTTGCGGAGTATAATCTTTTTACTTTACTAATACTTGCATCGTGGCCTATACACCTGATGCAAAAAGTTTTGGGGGAGGTGCATGTACTTTACTCAACATATTTATTGAATAATATTTGACTTAATGTTATTACTATATATGTATGAATAGAAAGAGTTGTAGGAAATGTTGATGCCAGATGATTAAAACCTGTTGTAGTGATGAAGACTCCTGGAGAGTGCAGTATTTCCATTGTAGGTGGTGTGGTACAGGGCATACATCCTCTTGGGAGGAGAGCTGTGGATGGGACACACAAAGACTGAAGACAACATTTGATTTACAGATTTAATCAAAACTAGAATTACTGCCTTTTGGTTGAATGCCTCTGTTGTCAACTTGCAGGTTACATGCAAGTTGTTCATGAGATATCACATTTATGAGAATAGGATGGACGGACGTGAAGACATAATGCCTCCAGCCTCAGCTGTCGTTGATGCAAAGGCATGAAACATATTTCGTTGTATCTACTGTGGTCGTGCACATGAGCTTATTTAGTTAATGTTTTGTGCTTCTGGCCTCCAGGTGGCCGAAACAAACCAGATTAGTGTTGTTTTCTGACACACTGCACATTAAATATCATTATCACAAGCAGCACAAGCTCTGGAATCATATAATATATTGCACAGGGTCCCATAGTATTTTGGAGAAAATTTAGGCAGCCAAAATACTTCAAAGACAAATTTCAACCAGAAGTCAATCTGCCAAGCATTCCCGACTCCAAATGTGTTACTTGTAATACAGATGGACTGACCCTTAAACTCTTCTCATGGCCACCAATAAGGTATCACCACAGAAACAAAAATGGCACCGGACCCCTTACCTCAAATTAAACTCCTCCTCTGACTTCCTGGAGTTGTAAAGGCTCACCCCCCCCATGTAACCATGGCAACATGGCAGTAGCTCAATAGGGTTGGCAGGACCTGGAGGTGGACAAGCCTGTGGACAGGAGACAGGCACAGATCAGCTTGTGTCTGGATGCCAACATCACCACAGGTCTCAATCAAGCTCTGTGCTCACTCACGCATAAAGTTAATTCTGCATAATGAACATTCAGGAGGTTTCCAATAAATCTATTTGGATACAGGTGCTTATACCGAAAATCACAGTGGCAACGTTTTTAAACTGAGCTGATATATTTTTGTTTTTTGCATCCTTAAAAAACACACACTAGCTTGAATGCCATGTTCATGCATCGCCTGAGGGTAGTTAGTCTATAAATCTGCACTTATAAAATGAATGGATGTGAGTCCCACAAGCTTAAGGCTCATCAGGCACAGCCACCGGACGTCCTGCCTAAAAGTATCAGCTCATAGCACACTTCATGGAGTTGACTGATTAGTGAGACAGTTCTCCTCACACACTGACTCGTGACCCGTGAAAAGTAAAAACAGAGCATCATCCGTCACTGGAAACATCTTCACCTAAAGGCTTTCACATTTCTCATCGCTGGACTGTGACATATGGCATCACACATATGGCCCATTATCTCCTCTAGCGTTACTATTAAGAAGGGAGATTATTATTCAGTGGCCTTAGTCGATGTTGGCGCCTTTAAATGGATGTGCTTTGTCAATGCTGCACTGACAAGGTGCCAGCGCCACCTGGCCAAGCTGTAATCAACTGCAAAGTGCACTTGGAAGTGATCCCAGGCTACGCATATCAGTATTTTTTCCCATCCCACGTTCCTTACTACAATAGACCTGCTCCTACACGATGGACTGAGATTAGCATCAATCAGAGAGGCACAACGGGGCCTGGATGTGCTCTATGGATACAGGATTACTGTATGTGCACAAACAGGGATCACAGTGATGTGTAGGAGGACACAGTACAATGAGCATTCTCCATGTAGAATACTGTGTAAAAATAGCAACAGCCACATGTGATGTTGCCTGTTTCAGTGTGACCCACTCGGAATTGGGTCTGATGATCATAATAAATGCGGAGCTGAACTGCAGATGCTGATGAAACACACAGGGGGGTTTGTGTGCATTCAGCATTGTATTTGAATTAAACATTTTAACTGAGCCAAGCACATGACAGCTCATCTCTCACGTGATACCTTTACCGTAACTGGAAAGGCATTGAAGACAGTGAAAAAGGAGAAGAAAAATACTGAGGCACTGAGCTGCGCTGGGTGTTAAAAGACACACAGACTGATCTAGACTGTGAAATGAACCTTCATCACAGTGTCTGACTGACAGGTTATTTGGCTCACAGAAAGCTGTTTACCTGATGGCATAAAAACAGAAAAAGGGGGGGTGGATGATCAGAAAGGTTTGGTGGCCCGGACCTCCCTCCTCCCCTGTGCTGGAGACAGAGGCACTGACCTGTGTCTCTATGATGCGACGCTTTGATTTACGTGACTCTGGCCCCCCCGGTCTCCTCTGGCAGGGTAGTGACAGCGGGCTGAAGTGAACAACAACACACAAATTAATATACCATAAAAAAATACTAAGATAAAAACACATATAGTCCCAAAGTGCAATGTTTAGTTTATAACAGTGTGTCTCTGTCAGTGTGTCTATTGTAAAATAGAGGAAGATGAGAGCAGTGAGATGATGTACTGAATGACTGTGATATATTAGTAACAAATTTGGCATACTATATATGCCATATATACCCACACATCATCAGGAAAGAGGTTGAAAATGTGAAACAAGAAATAAATAAAAATAAATATAAACAGTTCTCCCCAAACTGAACCTGAACTTGCCTTCTGCAGCTGGCTTGTTTATGAAAATAGGTCTTGAAGTCTAGAACCCCCAAAGTGGCCCTTAGAGACTGAAATGCCCATTACAACCCATAATTAGAAAACGCTGCATAAAATAGACGTGTTCTTCGTGCTATAACAAGAGATGTACAAGTAGTGGGAATGTAAATGTACATTTTGCTAAAGTAAAGACTTGGGAGTCATTGAGATCTACAGGATTTACTGGCATGAATGTGTTCAGTAACGTGCACTGCAATCTGACCAATTCTTTATGTGATATCTTGTGCACAGAGTTGACATTTTGGCCTGAGGGTGATATAGAAGGATGCTTATCGAGTAGCCAATATACAAAGGTCTTTTGGCTCTCTTTATGGGAGTGGTGAGGTTTATAACAAGAGAAATCCCATTGGGTTTAGATATTTCTTATACAATTCTGTGTGTTACTTTTGGCCTGATGGTGGCACAACAAGGTCACACTTGGATCCATAAAAACCCATAGCAATCTGAACAAAAACCCGGCATTAGTTTCATAATCAGAAGGGCATCCTATCACAGTGATGAATATCTGAACCAAACTTCATGGCATTTTTGAATGTAGTTGAAAAAATAGTAGGGCAGTGGTTAGCACTGTCGCCTCACAGCAAGAAGGTTCTGGGTTGGAGCCCTGGGTCGACCCAGGGCCTTTCTGTGTGGAGTTTGCATGTTCTCCCTGTGCCTGTGGGGGGTTCTCTCCAGGTACTCCGGCTTCCTCCCACAGTCTAAAGACATGCAGTTTAGGTTGAGTGGCGACTAAATTGCCCGCAGGAGTGAGTGTGAGTGGTTGTTTGTGTCTAAGTGTCAGCCGTGATAGACTGACGACCTGTCCAGGGTGGACTCCGCCTCTCACCCAACGTCAGTTGGGATTGGCTCTAGCCAATGGATGGAGGGATGGATGAAAAAACAACTTACTGTGGACACTAGTATCTCAGAAAAACTGAGTGTGCCACCTGCAACACAGAGTAAGCCAGGCTAATAAAGCTGAACAACACCTTTGTAAAATAACCTTGCTGCAGGACACGTGCATGCACATGTGAACTCATGCTTACAGATGCACACACATAAGCACACAGGGGGGTTTTATACTCTTTTAGAAGAATATTATGATGCTGATGCTTTTGCTAGCATGTAAAAATGGCAGTCCTTTGATTTCTGAGTTAATTGCTCTTGTGTAATGTACGCCCTGTGGGAACCCCAGAGGTCTTACTGAGATATGAGATGAAAAGAGAGATGCTGTCGTTACTGACCTTCTCCGGTGCGTGATGTTGATAGGTGGGTCAGTGATGAGGGGAGACGAATCAGAAGTCAGTGGAGGTGGGGCTCGGACCTGAAGCCCAAACAGACACTTCTTCTTCTTAATCTCCTTCCCAGAGACAAACCTACGTGACATCAAAGAAACACCTCATACAAGACAGCCTTACTGTAGCTCTTCAAATGTATCCTCACCTTGTGTTGTTTCTTTTCATTACTCCGCTTTGATGCCAGTAAAGAACAGTGAAAATAATGAAAATTGTCCTGATGAAAAAGTGGAGCAGACTTTGCCTGGAGGGATTTGCAGTTTTGTAACTGCAAGGCTGTTTTTTTGTTGTGTAAATTTCAATTAAAACCCACTAAAAGCAATTGGTTGGTTGGCGGTGACTTGTTACTCTAATTGAATACTAGCAACCTGTGCCCAACAAGGTAAAAAGTGTTAAATCTAATCGGGTCTAATTCGCAGCCACTTTTTGCTCATGTATTTTTCAAAGTCACACATTTCACCTTGGTCATTTCAGCCTGCGTGTCCGACGTTACGGACTATGACGCACTATGAAGACCCCTCTGTTCGTGGAGTGCTATTCATCAGTTCAGTTCTGTGTAGTCAGTGTTCACTCTTCTCATCATATGCAATGACTTACCTGTCCTTGTGGGAGTTCAGAGCGTTGAGGAGATTGTGACAGCGGTCTTGCCTTGGCGTGTCAGAGAGCTGGAGGACAGACAGGAATGAAAAATCAAAACTCTGTTTACAGAGTGTAGAGCTATCAGACAGAAAACCTTTAATGCATACAATCAGTTCCTTTTACACTGACAGCATCGATGTTGGTATAGATAACTACTTGTTGCAGCTATGTGGCTGAAAAACCTTGCTGTCATGTGATGACAGGACAAACAATGCACTTCAAAATATCTCTGAAAAGCAGCTTGAAGGAGAACCCACAACCTCAGATGCATGTGCAGGAGACACTCAGAAATTCTTCCTGGAGTGTTTCACAGTCACCTCTACTTTTATTTTCCTGTTTATTCTCCGTGGAGCAACTTCAGACTTTAAAGCACACGGTTTCACAACTTTGTGTCTTAGCAGTCTAGTCTGAAGATTTGTCAGAACCCAGTCATGTTGTGACTGTGTCCTAGATCTGCGATTCCCAACCAGGAGTTCCTGAAGATGCATGTGGAAAGACCATGTTTAATGGGCAATAAACAGCCAAACAGGATAAAATGGTGTGACTGATTTTTAGTAGATCTATTGTCACAATATCCAGCAGCTATGAATAGTTCCCAGCAAGTGAAGCACACCTCCAACTACCCTTAGTCGGCTGTAGCACCAGGTGTGGGCACGTGTTTGGCTCAGAAAGCAACAGTAGTTAGCAAGAAAGCAGAGAAGCTGAAATAGTTTGTTTAAACTATCAGATAAACATGTCAAACTGTTAGCTAAAAGCAATGGAAAAAAAGGTTGAAATAGTGAGTTGACAGTGTTGGATAAAGAGTTAACATATCTATCGAAAAGCACTGGATAAATGCATGAAAAAGCTAAAAAGCTAAAAGCACCCTCGAAATAACAAAAACGAGTTGGAAAAACAGTTGAAATTAGTAACATTGGCTAAAATGAAATGAAATACTACAGTAATGAAATATGAGAGTTAGCTAAAGGCAATGGATAAATGCTGACATATTTAAACAGAGGTACTGTATTAGATAAATAGATGAATTATTTATCTCAAAGTCATAATCATTAAAATGAGCTAAAAGTAAGCTAATGGACAAACACTTGAAATATCTAATGGACAAGTAAAATAACTGGTTGAATTGTTCTCTGCACTGTAAGTGGTTATAGTACAAATGCAGACCAAACTGATCTAACCAACTATTTGAAAAAGTACACTAAATAGTAGTGGTAAATAATATGCATTTTAAAGTCATCTGAAATGAACCGTGGCTCTGGGGGTTTGTCAAAATCACTATTTACTATAAAGCCTACTGTAATGCACTAGTTATCTGAGTATCTGAATTCTGAGTATGTAAATCCAGTTATTGTATGTATAGTGACCTCAGAATTTCCACAATGGAAGCAATGTAAGTAGCTTGAACACTACGTTCTACTAACAATCCCAAAATGCAATGCTCCAGCTCAAAAGGTGATGAAAAATGTGTGAAATCTCACTTTACTGCTCACTGCTACCGAGAGTCCACTACACAGGGAGTAGCGAATGAGTGAATAAGGGAGTGATTTTTGCCAAAGCCACCCATTTCTATAGCTCGGTGTTCCCCTTTAAGCTTAAATAGAGGTCATACTTCTTTAAATGTAATTTTTACCTTAATAGCTGTTAATAAGCTTTAAGTCTAATATGCAAAAAGGCTGGCAGCATTTCACATCATTTCATCATGGTGCTTAAAGGGGGAAATATCAATACCGCTCCTAGGAGCAATGAGTCCCAATTCTCATTGGTGAAGGACAGGATTTCATGGTCAAAATCAAAGTATTTCCTCTTGCAGCACAGCGAGAGATGGTAGAGCACTAAATGAGCCAAATCCACCCTGCATTTCAAATAAGAAACAGTAAGAGTTAGATACTGAGAAACAAAAAAGAAAATACTACTAAATATTACACAAAACATGTAAGCCTACACATACCATGTATTACAAAGAGCAGTACTGGTTCTGTGAAGCAGTAGTAACACAATTCTCAAGTTCATAAGAAGAAATAAAAATGTACTGAAAGGCAACTTTGATTTTAAAATTAGCTTGAAGAAGAACAGCTAGAAATTTATTCTAACTACTGTTTTTTTAAAGTACTGCCTAAATAATTGTGTGAAAAACTGCAGTGATCTTTCACTGTAAAGGTGTTACTGTAGCATCACCAGGTCATGGGTAGTCTTTGGATGGTCTCTGGTCCCTTTGCACACACCGAGCACTGGAACTGATAAAACCTAGAAGCACATGGACATAAGAAAACGATCAGACAGGTGCACAGTTTCCGAAAAAACTGTCGCCTATCTTTTTGTGTGAAATATAGCATGTACAATCTGTACACTGCTATTTTCTTCCAAAACAAGTATATTTTTTTTACTTCATATTGTGTCATCCAAGTCATTCATACATGCTGATTTTTTTATTATTGTGTTAAGAAGCTTTACAGTTCTTCTTTCCCTTTACTTTATTTACAGTTTATATGTCACTCTCTGGTTGGCATGGTGGTGCAGTGATTAGTGCTGTCGCTTCACAGCAAGAAGTTTCCCGGTTCGGGCCTCCGCTGAATCCAAAGGCCTTTTTGTGCCGAGTTTGCACATTCTCCCTGTGCCTGTGTGGATTTTCTCCAGGTCCACAGTCCAAAGACATGCAGCTTAGTTTGATTGGTGACTCTAAATTGCCCGTAGGAATGAGTGTGGGGGTGTGGTTGTTTGTCTCTAAGTGTCAGCCCTGTGATAGACTGGTGACCTGTCCAGGGTGGACCCTCGCCCAGTGACAGCTGGGATTGGCTCCACCCCCCACCCCCTTGCGACCCTGTTCAGCATAAGCAGTATAGATAATGGATGGATGGACGTAATGCTCTTCTCTAGATATTTCCTCCTGTAATCAGCATGACCTGAGAATAAATGGATCTGTCCCACACTATCCTGTTCTAGATGACCCCTGACACTTACCTTTGACAAACCAACACAACACTGTGTGCATCTGTCCTTCTACAAGCATGTGTTCGCTGAAGGTCACAGGAAAAAATGAAGCACAGTCACAGCACAAAGGCAGCACATGCTTACTATTCCAACTGTGAACTCAGTCTTCACTATCCCTCTACCACCTGCTTGGCAGATGTTGTACACATCCAGCCTGACGCTCCCCATCTGTCAATCTAAGTCTAATCCCTCCTTTTTTTTCGCACTCCTGTCGGACAGGCTCAGCAATAACAATGTGTCAGCGTGGGTCCAAAACCCAGTCGGCTAATACAGGCAGTTAATGGCAATAATAACTTAATGGATGGACACATTTTATTACACGCATGAGGTGCGGCCTATCAAAGTGCACTGCGATCAGCACCTTGCATATCCACCCAGTAGCAGAGAGGTGACATGTCTGCTCTGCTGTCTGTCACTGTCCACTGAGTTATTAATATGATTAACATGCACACTGGTAATTTAGTCTTAAGCTAACTAGGGCAGTTTTCTAACAAGTCATACAGACATCTTCATGAGTGGGGCCTGCTCCTAAGACACTCAATCTATTAGTGGATAGAAATGTATTAGCAATTTTGATAATAAATTAGAAAGTCACTTTCGGCTTTTCCTGTTCAAGGGTCCTCACTGACAACTTCCATGTTGACATTTGGCACATGTTTTACGCCAGATGCCCTTCCTGACACAACGTGGATTCAAACCTGGGGCGCAGCGGTGAGAGGACTGCGTCTTAACCACTAGCCTACCAGGGAGGCCACAAATTTTGATAATAGTTTATTTTTTATAGATTGGCTTGAAATCTGACTATACATAACCCAGTCAGCACAAGTAGGTGTAGTAGGCTCGGTCCATCCCAGATATCGTACCCATTAAAGAAATACACAACCTGTGGTGAGTGGTAAATATAAAAAACACCGATCAATGTAAACCAGGTCAACAGAAAAGTCACATCTCACATCAAAACACAATTGAAATATCTGATCCTAGCTGATATATTATATCACTTTTTATGCTTTTTGTCATTTAGCCTAAATTTAATACATTTTCAAAAAAATGTAAAGCTATAATTTATAATGATGATGATGATGTTTTTAAATTGACTCATATTTATTTACTATTAATATCATCTTCGGTATTTTTCTGCATTCAGATTGTCCTCAAAAAGCAAGGGATCACTGACACAAAGAAATGTATTTGTGAGTATAAAGAAGCCACAGTTTCTACAGTAATGCTAAATAACACACCTGTCCCCATACAGTAATGGCTTGGCTAGACACTGTGTGCAGGCCTCGTGGAACCACTGACCACAGCTTCCACACTGTAACATCTTCAGGTTCCACCTGCAGGAAACAAGAAAACACCAAGACACCTTAAACATATGAATGACTTAATGTGTCTAACATTAGTCACCTGACAGGTTTTATGCATATGTGAGGAAGGATGAGGGCTGCTGGCTGCAGGTGCCTGGCAGGTCACATTTCCTATGGTCAAATGTGTCTTCAGGCAAAACTCTCACTTTGTCTTTCTAGCGATAAAGATACAGAAGTTGAGAGTAAATTACTTCCACGTTTATATAGCCGTTTCTTGGTTTGTTCACAGCATAACTCATGAAGTAATGAATAGATTTGGGTGAAATTCATTGGAGATGTAGGGTTTAGCCAAAAGAACAATCCATTAAGTTGTGGTGTTGGTCTTGATCATCACCCAAATACAGATTTCTTTTTTCTTTGCCATTGCAACATAGGGTCAATTTCAATATTTTTGCTTCAAACTCCATACATAATGTGTACAATGGCTGGACAAACACTGCACAATAACATCCACATAAGATTTACCACACACTAAAGTATGATCTGGATCCAAGTAATATTCCATAATGTTCAAATTTATAGGGATCATGAAAAACTCACTACTGTGAGGCAATAAATAATGCTACAGACTTGAACTAGGATTAAATTCTAGGTGAAACACTGTTGATTCAATAGGATGTCAATAGATTTGTTCAAACTATCATGGGACTATTGCTTTTAGGTGGAATGGTATTATGGGGACACTGATCTACCTTGGTGGAGGTTTGCCATCTCTGAGTCCTGCCTAGTTTTATTCTGCTTAAGATGTCAGGTGGGTGGAGTTTGCCACTGTTAGAAATTAATAAATTAGTCAGATAATTATTAGACTTTAATGTGTTATTAATTCAGTTTAGTAAGATTCAAAGTCTGCTCTTGTGTGCTTTGCTTCAAGGTTAGAAGATAATGTTGATTCTGAAAAGTGTACCTTGACACCAGTTGTTTTCTTGTATTAATCTTGTGTAAGAATTACTGTATGTCTGAATGTTTTAGTTACACGCCACGTAAACAACAACACACACACACATGGAATTCTTCACTTTGTTATGACTAGTGCTTGATGCATGCGGAGCATAAGATATGAGAAGGAGACGTCGAACTGTCTCCAACTCGTGATGTTTTTACATCTGTCTGTGTAAGGGGTTAGCCCAAAACCTTATAAATGTATTAGGTTCTGTGTTTCCGGGGTCTCTCTTCTCCAGCAGCTTGTCTGAGGGAGAGAGCCACCCGGGTTGTTTTTTCTGTAACTTTTATTTGTGGCTTTTTTAAA